GTGTTCCGGCATTTAGGCTTCTGCCTGCGCGGCTGTTTCGATATAAAAAAAAAAAAAAATTGCCAAAAATTTGAAGCTGAAGCGCAAAGCAGTTTGGGCAATATTGAACAAATATAAATCAAAAGGTAGCCTGGAAGCCTCTAAGAGAAGTGGTCGATTACAATTTGCACGGTTGTATCTTGATTGGAGCATCTGTGATCGGAAGAGGGTATGTTTCAGTGACGAATCCAAGTTCATTATGTTTGGAGCAGATGGTATTCATTACGTTAGACGTCTTGGTGGACAAAGATTGAACCCCAAGTACACTTTGCCCACTGTCAAACATGGAGGCGGGTCTGTTAACCACAAAAAAAAGAATGTTTAACACCAACTTTTTTTTATCTTAACTATTTTACTCTGTAATCTGGGTTGTTTTTTAAAAAAAATTAAATCTTCCATAACTTTTTAACCTTTGAATATAGGGTATGGTATTATATACTAATTTTGATAGCAAAGGAGCTGTACTATCACCTCCTAAAATGTTTTACACCTATTTACCTGTCACCCTGTATAAAATATCCCGGTTTCATCTGCATTGAATATGTTATCATCTGAATAATCACTGGATATGACGGGCCAAACTTGAGAAATCCAGTCATTGGTAACGTTCTTGTCAACTGAAGCTGACTCACCACACATTTTTCCAAAAACAATGTTGTGTCTTTTCTTAAACCTGTCTAGCCAACCGGAATAACATTTGAAGTAATCTCCAATCAATTTCCCAAATTATTCAGCCTTTATTTGTAGCATAAGTCCACTTATTTAAAAATTATTAGCACACGTTTGTTGAAACCATTCAAACAGCATATCATGTTCACTAGTTGATTTCCAGTGATTTTAATTGTGTCACGGTTTTTCCAAATATTTGATACAGTGGATTGTTTTATAACCATACGAGCACATATATTTGCTTGAGATGAACCCTGCTCAAGCTCATTAATTATTGTGAACTTTTCGTCTAAAGTGAATGCACGTTTCGTACGTTTTGACATGATTATAACTCTAATAAATACAGTATAACACTGGTGGCCAAGTACGAATGCAAACTGCGAAGCCAAACCGCCGTAATCGATTGCATCAGTTAAATCTGCTTCGGGGAACTACCAAAATAGCTCATATACAGGGTGTCCCAGAAGTCGACGTCGATATGGAAATTTCACACCCTACGGCAGTCTGTCAACAAATATTAACTTTTTTTGGATTTCATTTTTACAATGTAATGATGAATAATGCATCTTCAAACTGGTGTCTCAACCTTACTGCCAACTTTTCTCGTTCAGGAAAAATTGCCACTTATTTCCCAACCAAGTATTCCAAAGTAAAACTTTGCTCAACTTTAACTGGCTGTACTGGAAAAAAATGTACTACGAGAGTTCGGCAAGTAACCGTAAAAGTTGGCGCATTTAATAAGGATTCCAAAATGGTATAACACTTAGAAGATTACTCGTTAACTTATGCACAATTTTTATTTGAAGAAAAACTGATGAAAATTTTTCAAAATTTCCTAATTAAACAGCGATTATGAAAACGCACAAGGACCCTCAAGGATAACTGTTTGCACAACAGTGAACATCAAAATGCTGCTGATGATGATTTACCTTTACAGCAAATGCTCAAACTGTTTTCCTTCAGCCGCAATACACGCTCGACATCTTCTTAAAAAAGATCGGGTTATTAAACGAGCGAATCCACGGTTATTAACAAACTCAGCTGCTTTCAATAGTCTTTGCCGTAGCTCAGCTACATTTTGAATCGGCTTGAAATGCACTTTTTCTTTTACAGTTCCCCAGTAAAAAAAATCCACGGTATTGTACCAGACCGCCCTATCCATCTGCCTGGAAAGTTTTGATCGAGATACTCTCTCACTGAGAGTGCATAGTGCGCTGGGCAGCCATCACGCTGAAACCACATGTCCTTGTAAATACTCAGTGGCACGTCCTCCAATAAATTTTCTAAATGATTTTGCAAAAAACCTAAATAAACCTCAGCAGTCAAAGTCTCTGGGAACTCAAACGGACCGATTATTTTACCATTTAAAATTCCTGTCCAATGGTTTATCTTGAAGCGATATTGAGATTTATCTTCTCTCATCAAATGTGGGTTTGCTACGTGCCACTCGTGTAAGTTATGCAGGTTCATGTACCCATCTTTCTTGAATGTGGTCTCATCTGACCATAAAATTTTTTCAAAGAACCGTGGATCTTCCCTGTGTCTTTCTAACATTGTGCGACAAAAAGCAACTCGGGGCTCATAACCCCGAGGCAGAAGAGCTTGAACACGCTGTACGTGGTATGGATGGAGCACGTTTTTTTTGCAAGATTCTATGGGCTGTACTTTTGGGCACACCTGTTTTTAGTTCTATTGCAGGCACTGAAGTACTCGGGTCTTCTTCGACAGCTCCTAGCACCACGTCTTCGTAAGGAAGGAAAGATCTTCCCTCACCGTGTGATTGGTTTGGTAGTTGGCCCTCTGAGAACACTAATCGGTGCACATTTGTGAACACTCGATGATCTGGATGACGAGCTGCATTCGGGTACCTCTCACAGTATAGTCTCGCTGCAGCACTAGCGTTGCATCTGCATTCCACATAAATGAGGTGCATGTTAGCATATTCTTGTACGGTGTACACGGACATAGCGGCACTGCACAATCACACTATCAAAGATAGTCTAAGGAAAGCAAATGTTGTTTTGAAGAGCAATTAAACAGTCCAAATTCAAATCACAAGCGATCAACAGTCCAGTTCATGAATCCAAAATTAGTAAAAGTACGAAATCAACAAGCACGAACATGTAAAGATGCGCAGTAAACGAAGGAGTACTGATCGGTATCAAAGTGTGCAATAGCAAGTAAGTGATGTGCTTCATCCATACCACATACAGCGTGTTCAACCTCTCCTGCCCCGGGATTATGAGCCCCGAGTTGCTTTTTGTCGCACAATGTTAGACACAGGGAAGATCCACGGTTCTTTGAAAAATTTTTATGGTCAGATGAGACCACATTTAAGAAAGATGGGTACATGAACCTGCATAACTTACACGAGTGGCACGTAGCAAACCCACATTTGATGAGAGAAGATAAATCTCAATATCGCTTCAAGATAAACCATTGGACAGGAATTTTAAATGGTAAAATAGTCGGTCCGTTTGAGTTCCCAGAGACTTTGACTGCTGAAGTTTATTTGGATTTTTTGAAAAATCGTGTACAAAATTTATTGGTGGACGTGCCACTGAGTATTTACAGGGACATGTGGTTTCAGCATGATGGCTGCCCAGCGCACTATGCACTCTCAGTGAGAGAGTATCTCGATCAAAACTTTCCAGGCAGATGGATAAGGCGGTCTGGTACAATACCGTGGCCAGCCCGATCACCTGATTTGAATCCTTTAGATTTTTTTACTGGGGAACCGTAAAAGAAAAAGTGTATTTCAAGCCGATTCAAAATGTAGCTGAGCTACGGCAAAGATTATTGGAAGCAGCTGAGTTTGTTAATAACCGTGGATTCGCTCGTTTAATAACCCGATCTTTTTTAAGAAGATGTCGAGCGTGTATTGCGGCTGAAGGAAAACAGTTTGAGCTTTTGCTGTAAAGGTAAATCATCATCAGCAGCATTTTGACGCCCACTGTTGTGCAAACAGTTATCCTTAAGGGTCCTTGTGCGTTTTCATAAACGCTGTTTAATTAGGAAATTTTGAAAAATTCTCATCAGTCTTTTTTCAAATAAAAATTGTGCATAAGTTAACGAGTAAGTGTTATACCATTTTGGAATCCTTATTAAATGCGCCAACTTTTAAGGTTACTTGCCAAACTCTCGTAGTACATTTTTTTCCAGTACAGCCAGTTAAAGTTGAGCAAAGTTTTACTTTGGAATACTTGGTTGGGAAATAAGTGGCAATTTTTCCTGAACGAGAAAAGTTGGCAGTAAGGTTGAGACACCAGTTTGAAGATGCATTATTCATCATTACATTGTAAAAATAAAATCCAAAAAAAGTTAATATTTGTAGTAACAGGAATTTACAGACTGCCGTAGGGTGTGAAATTTCTATATCTTTTTCAAAGACCTATAATTTTCAAAACACATACATAAATTTTTTTTAAATATTTTTCTGATAGCTGTTATGACTTTGCCTATCACCCGGTTTCGGCTTGACGTCGACTTCTGGGACACCCTGTATAATGGATTAAAATAGTCTGTTATAAGCGAGGGTCTATTTTAAGCGAGTCTATAATATCCGAGGATTTTACATGCAATTATTTATAGGACCATTATATACGGGATTCCATTATAAGCAAGTTCATCATAAGTGTATTCCACTGTACTTTATTATAATAATATTTTTGTCTGGATGTAACGCATTAAAAAACCGGGTAGTAGCTCTTGCAATGCTCCCATTTTGGTAATACAGTTTTTTTATTCCGACCCTTTCTCTAATTGAATGAATAAGTGATTGTTCAATATTTATCACAACTAGGTAGGTAACTTAACAATTTGGAATGAAAGACCAAGTTTTTCTATGACATACGATGACACTGACTGAAGCTAAATGTTCTTGCGGATATCCATGATTATTATTTTTTTGGCGTGCATTCCATTATTATCAGTATTAAGTTCGTCGAATTTTATTATAAACTCAAATAGTTTCACGACGATTAAAGATAGATATAAACTTTATTATATAAAAGTTATTAAAAACTTCATGGAAAATCTAACAATTAAAAAATAGGGGTTTCCATTTAAAAATCTAAAGTGTAACGCAAGATCTAATTTTTGGAGCACCCTGTATTGTGCGGCTATAGATGAAAAGACGTCCCCTTACAAATCAAAATTGACGTGTTCGAGCGTTTTTCCCAAAATATACCAGGAGAGTCACAAATAGGGGTGCGACCCTTTCGTTGGGCCATCCTGCATATACTTTTACAACATTGAATAGGTTGAAGGCAAAAAGGTAATTTTTTTCTTAGCATACCCAACGGACGTTCAGAGACTCGACAGGAGCTGTCGCAAATCAGTCTACGGGGTACTGGATAGCTGATATGGATATCAACAGTCCGCATACAGTAGATAGGTAAATATATCGTTATATAAACAGGGTGTTCAGAAATAAAAGACAATCCTATGAAAAATTTTGTCTTAGTAAGGGAGGTCGTTTCCAAGATTTTCAGCGTTTAGCTTTTCTGGGTGTGAGTGTTTTAAAATAAACCTGATCAAAAAATATTTGTAGAAATAACACGAGAATGCGACGCAAATCATTTTTCTTTTTTCTGCATATAATAAGGTGAAGAGAAGCGGGTGTTTCCACCTTGACAAAAATTGTGTGTTGAATAGCTGATGTGGAATATACTTAAACACGTTTTAGTCTGAACATATTAGCAAATTTCCTCGAAATAAGTGTAGAGTCTGATTTTATTGGTGCAAGTTGTTCAAGGGGGTATTTAAAACATGGATATACCAATTTTTCTGAGAAAACTTTTAATTTAACAAGAAAGAATGAGAAAACGTGTTTTTTGGGATTTAATCGAAAGCGTTGATAGCAACGAAAAAACTTTTGTTTGTTGGTTTAAGATTTATTTAGAATGATTGCTACAATTACATTCTTTTAAACAACTACAACAATTACATAACAAACAGATAATTCAGAAAAAAATTGCATCTCTGAGAATTTTCATTGTCCATGAAATATTCCTTTAATTTTCTTTTAAATATCTTTAAATTACAAAAAGACTTTATATCATTATTTAGTTTCTTAAATTCAAGTAATCCTTTCTGAAATATTGATTTGCTAGTTATATTACTATTGCAATTTTGTAAATGAAAATCTAGATTTCCTCTTGTATCATAATTGTGGTAATGATTATTCAATTCCATGTAGTGTTCTAGATGTTGTGGCAAAAGATGATTTTTATTTTAAATATAAAAAGAACCAAATATGATATGAAATTTTTATATTCAACCGCTGCAATTCTTGTAACATAGATTTTATCTTGATGTACTTATTTTTATTCAATATTATTCTCATATCTTTATTTTGCAAGACTTGTAATTTTGAGAATAGAGCTTCATTGGCAGTGAACAAGATAGTTGAGCAATATAGTAAATGCGGTAGAATGATTGTATTATAAACTATTTTCTTGGAATAGGTACCAAGACTATGAGAAACTTAATTTGTTTTTTTTTTTGCAATTTTTGAAATAATGTATTCATAGTGATCCTCAAACTTCAGTTTACTATCAATATATATATATATATATATATATACCTAAATATTTAATTGATTCAACATTTTCCATTATCTATCCATTGATCCTAACTGTGATAGTATTTTCATTTAGATATTTCCCTATTAGCGTACATTTTGTTTTAGAAGTATTCAATTTTAGTTTATGATTTTTGCCAAGTTAGAATTTAGCATTTTTAAAGCAGTGTCTATATTTTCGTCTGATATGTATATTAATGTATCATCTGCAAATATCTAAATTTCACAATAATCTAAAATATTACAAATGTCATTAATGTATAAAATAAATAGTAGTGGACCTAGTCTACTACCTTGTGGTATACCAACAGAAATATTTTTTGATCTTGATAATGTAGATACAATTTTGAATTTTTGACTTCTGTCAATTAAATAGTTTTGTAGAATCTTTAATACAGATCCCTTAAATCCGTAGTGATGCAATTTTGTAAGTAATTTATCCCTGTCAATAGTTTCAAACGCCCTTTTGAAGTCCAAAAACACTGTTACTGTATGTTTCCGATTGTCCATACATCTCCTCCAGTCCTCTAAAACCATTTCTGTTGCGTTTCAATTGAGTGAGTAATTTATCAGGACTAATATTCTTGCTCCAATAATATCAAAACATTAATTAAGCACACTTTTAGACAAAATCTCACTCTTATTTTGATTTGATTTAATTTTCTATATAATCTTCTTGAGACGATTTGTGTTTATAGTTCTAAACTCACTGAATGATGCATTATAATCTGAGCTAATGGGACATTGGTTGGGATCATATAAGATTTTTAGGTATTTATGAGATCTCCAAATGAGATCACACGTAAAAAGATCCGATTAATAGCAAAAATGTTATATCCGAAAAATGAGGCAAAATGCAGGTTTTGGCACTTGTTAGTAATGCGATGATAATTTTACGTAACTACATCGAATTCTTCAAATCCATAGGATTCATACTTCTAAACAACAACAAAATTGGATTATATTGGTCAAGTAGTGTTTTGTGAATTTCTAAATGTTTATCCCAAAACATCTGATTTCCGGCCATCACTACTAGTTAATTCAGCAATACAGGGTTATCCAAATTAAGTGTCCACCATTAGTAACTTTGTTATTAGTGAAAATACAAAGTTGTTTGAATTAGCAAACTAGTAGCATTTTTAACGCTGGTAAAAATGAGAAATAAAAAAAAACAATTGAGAGTCGTTATTTTGATTTTTTTCAGTAAAATAACATTTTTTTAAATGGAAACCCCTGTATATTATATTTTTTTCTGTTAAAGCATCAAATTTTAAACAAAAAAGCTTACAATAACTTTTCTCCTAGGTTACAAATTGTTGAAGTTATGGCCTCCAATCTGAAACAATTAAATTGTATCGACAAACTTTATTTTCAACATCAACTTATAATCTTACAAAATACAATAACAATTTTTTTTAAAGAAGATGCTCGAAAACACCACCTTGTTCTTCAATACATTTTTGGGCACGTTTTTCAACTGCTCGAACTGTCTTAAGTATGGTCCTACCATCTATCTGGGTTATCTTTTCCCTAACTGCAGTCTTTAACGCGTCAAGGTTAACGTACCTTCGCTTGTAAATTTGGTTCTTTAAGTAACCCCACAAGAAGTAATCAAGTGGGTTTAGATCTGGTGATCTGGGAGGCCACTGTATTGGGCCATTTGTTCCTATCCACTGATCATTAAAAGTAGTACTTAGAAAATGATAAGTACCTCTGGAGTTGTGGGCAGGTGCGCCATCTTGCTGAAAATGCAGATGATGTCTACATATAAGATCCAATTCGTCTAAGAAATTAGTCAGAATTTCTGACATAAATTCCACATATCTTTCACCAGTTAGGGTTCCCTCATAAAAGAACGGGCCAACAATTTTTGAACCAATTATACCGCACCAAACGTTGAAACTGAAACGGACTTGTGGGCCTCTTGGATGTACTAACAAAAGATTTTCTCTTGACCAATAATGGTGGTTTTTTCTATTAAACATTCCAGAATTTGAAAAATTTGATTCATCTGTCCATAAAAGGTAACGAAAGTTATTTACATTTTGGCGACAGAAGCTAAGATACCAATGGCAAAAAACAAGCCTTCTCTCTGGATCCCCTGCCAAAAGCGTTTGAACTGGTCGGTACTTATACGGAATAAATTTGTATTTTTTTAAAATCCTTTGAACAGTACCATAACTGAAATTAGAGTCCTTGAGAATATCTGCTATTGAATTCTCACGATAAGCTTCAAAATATCCAATAACTGCAATTTCCGTGGCCTCGCTTATTATGAATTCTTTTTTTGCCCTTGTTTTAGCAAAAACATTTTCGTTGCCCCTAAATTTTCGATAAAGTCTCAGAAAATATCGTTCATACGGTTGAATGCGAGCGGGATATAATTCACTGTAGTATTTATTCTCTTGCTCTCAAGGAGGATTTTCTGCACACTAAATAGCATTCTAACATATCACACATTTCTTCATGGGAGAACATTTTTCTTTAAATTAATGACACAATAAAGCTTATAAACAAGTATTTACACTAATGTTTGACATTATTTGATTTTATCATTGTTTTCCAAAGCCTTCTAGTTGCGAGTATGTCCAGTTTAACAATTTGTCGCTTATCTTAATGCTGTCAAATCGCGAACGCCATGTTGTTTTCATAGCCGTCTTAATATTATAATACTGCAAATAATTAAAAATATTTATCGTTATTTTGACTTTATTTTTGACTTTAGCGGAAAAGTCATTATGAACTTTTTTGTTTAAAATTTGATGCTTTAACAGAAAAAAATATAATATACAGGGGTTTCCATTTAAAAAAATGTTATTTTACTGAAAAAAATCAAAATAACGACTCTCAATTGTTTTTTTTTATTTCTCATTTTTACCAGCGTTAAAAATGCTACTAGTTTGCTAATTTAAACAACTTTGTATTTTTACTAATAACAAAGTTACCAATGGTGGACACTTAATTTGGATAACCCTGTATACAGGGTTCGCTCAAAGAGCAGCTAATAGCAAAATACATGTGGTTACCTTGATGAATCAAAAACCATTCCGAAAGATAAATGTTATTTTGATGCGAAAAACAAAGGTTACGTTTTTTTCTTCTAAACAAATTCAAACATTTCGTATTTGTGAGTAATTGAACAAATGCCCTACGATATTCCAAAAACATACGTTACCATGCACATTTTAAAACAGAGCTGATGTGTCTTTCATCTTTTGTTGCGATTTACTCACAAATACGATATGTTTGAATTTGTTCAGAAGAAAACACGTAACCCAACCTTTTTTTGCATAAAAATAACATTTATCTTCCGGAATGGTTTGCGATTCATATCGGCAAGGTAACCCTGTATATTGCTCAATAAACTAGTAGTAATGGCCGGTAAACAGGTGTTTTGGGATATATTATTAGAAATTCCCAAAAACTTCTTGACCAATCTACTCCAATTTTTTTGTGGTAATTTAGAAGTACGAATCCTACGAATTTGAAGAATTTCGAGTATCTGCGAGAAACCATCGTCGCATTACCAACAAGTGCCGAAACCTGCCGTTTGCCTCGGTTTTCTGAAATAACTTTTTTGCCATTAGTCGGATCTTTTTACGTGTGGTCTCATTTTGTAGATCTCGTAAATACCTAAAAATCTTATATGAAGAGTTTGTCGGTCCTGCCAACACCTCCGATTGAATCCCAAAAAAAACGTTTTCTCATCCTTTGATGTCAAATAAAAAGTTTTCCCACAAGAATTGGTGTATCCAGTTGATGCGACCATGTTTTGAATATCCTTGCTGCAATAAAACCAGACTTTACAATTATTTCGCAAACCATGCGTATTTTCGACTAATATGATTAGACTCTTTCCCCATATACGAGTACTTCACTCAAGGGGCGATGAATTTCTATGGGTGGTAATGTTTTTGCGTGCAAAAATCGGATGATCGCACCATATGCTTTGAAGTTGAAAGTAAATTTAATGCTAACAAAGTGGAAAATTACTAATATTAACAACTAAAAATGCTATAGGATAGTTAGGACATACATACAAAATCTAAAGTAGTTGCTCGAAATGTAAACCCATTTGTTTAATACACAATTCACACCTACGAATGAGCGAACGTGGTATAGCATTATTCAAATAAGGCCTTATTTCATCACATGCATTCCTGATTCTGTCTATTAGCATATCTCTTGTGGTTACGGGAGTCTGGTACACTTTTTCTTTTAGAAATCCCCACACAAAGAAATCTAATGGATTTAGGTCAGGGGATCGTGGAGGCCAGGCGACTGGTCCTCCACGGCCGATCCATCTTTCTGGATAATTTTCGTCCAGCCAGTTTCTAACTATTCTCGAATAATGAGCTGGACAACCATCAAGCTGGAACCAGGCCAATCTTCTTAAATCTTACATAACATCATCCCACATATTTGCATGTTCAGCCTTTAAAAATTCCAAGAAGGTCGCAGCATTTAACCTTGCAGGCAAAAGGTAGGGTCCAAATAGTCGGTTACGGTAGATACCAATCCACACGTTCACACTAAATTCATGCTGAAAATTTCTTTCCCGAACTGCATGCGGATTTTCATGCGACCAAATATGTTGATTATGAAAATTTACCACTCCACGTCTAGTGAAGCATGACTCATCGGTACATAAAACGTTACTTAAAAACTCCCTATTATTATCAGTTCTATCAAGAATCCACTGACAAAATGTGATTCTTCGTTCTCTGTCCCCTGGCTGTAGTCCTTGCACAGGCTGCAAATGGTAAGGACGTCTATGGTCATTTCTAAGAACACGGTGAACATGGCTTGCTGAAATTCCCAAGGCACCAGAAACTCTCCTAACACTTGTGGTCGGATCTCTATCAAACTCACGCAGAATCATACGGGTAAATCTGCGCTGACGAACATTTATGTTTTGATCCCTTTGGAGATTTCCGAAACCATTTTCAATTATTTGGCGATGCACGCTTACAAATACTGAGCGAGTTGGATGTCGTCTGTTTGGAAATCTTCGTGCGTATTCTCTGGCTGCTTCTGCTGCGTTTCCATTTACAAAGCCATACACAAAATGAATATCCGCTAACTCTTGATTGGAGAATAAAAATCGCATTTTTATAAAACTTACAAAAAAAAAAACAGGTAAAAGAAGCTAAATTTCGTGCATTCACAATTGCAAAAAACGTTTCATGTTTCAACATACAACAAAACTGTCAACTAATTGACGTTTAACCTTATTCTGCTTGTAATTTCAAAAATATTTGCAGACACAGTCTACTTTAAAAAATTATCGAGATACTGACTTGTTCACGTTATTTTATCATAAATAATTAAAAAAGCATCGAACCTTAAAAATCGAAATATGAATGTCTGTATGTTATGTTATTGTTTAGTTCTTTAGAAGAATGTAATTGTAGCAATCATGCTAAATAAATCTTAAATAAATAAATTTCGCACCTGGCGGTGACCGTGATGAAGAACTCCATTGCGCATGGCTGTCGGGCCAGCACTGACTATCGCAAATAGGCGCTTCTTGTTGGAATCGGTGGTGGGGGAGCCAAAAAACACGACGTTGTAGCCAGATTTCGCGTAGCATCACGCGTGGCAAAGATACAGCGTTTCTGAACCTTATTTTTGGGACAACCCTCGTATGTACAGTTGTCCCTTGACAATCCGACAGGTATGGGACCGGGTGGGTGTCGGATTACCGAAAATGTCGGATTATCAAGAATGGTATTTTCTTAATACATTTGATCAAGGAAAAATAGTATGTACTATGATTATTATTTTCGAATGCAGTAGTATTAATAACTATACAGGGTGACTTCGAAGTTGAGTCATTTATTTTAACAGTGAGTAGATCTGATCAAAAGAAATGTTTTTTTCCTTTACCATTTTTCTGGTAAAATTAAAGTAACAAAGTTATAGCCCTTTGGAAGTTTGAGTACCGCCCTGTCTCAATAATAATATTATGTGCTCGTGTTTGGCAACAACGGATATAATCCGCCTTATCGGTTCATCGCATCGGAAACAAAAAAGCGAAAGAATTTGGAACGATGTTTTTACAATTATTTTATTCAGTTGTATACATACAGTCAGTGTCAGTCGGTAACGCGTGAGTGAATAGTGGTGTCTGTTGCGTGGCTCAAACGACATAAAAAATGGCACATGTTTATGCGGATCGGTTTCCGAATCGAGTGCAACCAACCCCTCGTGCCTTTGTTAATGTAGTACAACGGGCTCGTGAATCAGGTGACTTAAGACCTCACAGGGGACGGCATGCCGGTGCTCCAAGACCGCACGATCAAATACAGGTCCGCACTGAAATACTTGTCGGGGGGATACTTTATAAAACAAGGTAAACATTTTTTTTTTAATTTTTTTTTTATTTTTGCACACATATTTTCTACAATCTACAATCACTATCTGAAAATTAATGACTCAACTTCAAAGTATATTAAGTATTTAGGACAATATAAAAATACGATGAAATTAAAAGTATTAAATAGTGCATATATGCAATTTATTACATATGTACAAAACTAGGTAATACATTCAATGATGGTAAAATATTTCAAACACAATACGGTTTTTTTGCACTTGGAAAAAGTCTGTGATTGACTTCTGCTTCTTCTTACGCCGACAGTCCTTCATTGCTTGTTCTTGAATCCCTTTTAACATCAAAATGTTTGAAAAATTTAATTCTCTCTCCTCGCACCAACGAAGGTGCTGATACCGCTTGATCACAGCTGATAGTGAAGTTTTTCTCCGGCACTGCCTCCTCGACCACGTCGTAATGTATTGTCGTGACTTCCTGGATTATCCTCAATAATCCATGTTCCGAATTCTTCGATTGATTCTGGCGCAAGTAAAATAGGTTCAGAATCGCTGTTGGATACGGGGTTGCATGTTGCATGATGTGGGTTGTCGGGCCAAATATTCTTCCAAGATTTTATCAGGTCATGCTTTTTACTTGCTGCCAAGCAAATGCGGCATTCAAAATGGCATCCTTAATATTGAAGGATTTCAAAATTGCTTCAATGTCAACATGAGGTTTTTGTAATGTGCCTTGAGAGTCTTAATGACGTTTTGATCCATTGGCTAGATCAAAGCCGTCGTCTTTTTTAGTAAGTACACAACCTCAATGAAACCGTCAGCAGTTTTAACTTTCAATTCATCCTTATCAGTGTGTCCTGGCGCGTCGAATTACCGAGTACGTCGGATTACAAAGTGTCGGATTATCGAGGGACAACTGTATTTAGAAAGGTACATGGAAAAATAGTTCATCCAAATCCTCTCTATCCTTGACAATATGGATTAATTTTCATTTCGGATACGGACACGAGATTATATGGGGTTGTAAAAAACGGACGCAGGAAAGTAAACGCATATTAAAACAAGAAAGATTGATATTCAAATCAAGTTGGGTACTTTATTTTGAAGGTTCATTTATACCATTTATGTATGAAAAATAATATCGCTCAAATGTTCACCACGACTGGATTTACAGACGTCCACGCGATGGTCGAAATTTTCAATGACATTTTGCAACATGGTCGGTTCTATGGCATTTATCTCGGCAATGATGTTGTTTTTGAGTTCTTGGAGGGTGGCTGGTTTGTTGACGTAGACTTTGCTTTTCAAATATCCCCATAAAAAGAAGTCCAAGGGAGTCAAATCGCACGATCTTGGTGGCCATGGCACATTTCCTCTGCGCGAAATCACGCGATCACCGACGAACGACTGCAATCGATGGTGTGGCATGTTGCACTGTCTTGTTGGAAATAAACATCGTCCATATCCATTCCTTCAAGTTGCGGCAAAAAATAGTCCTCTATCATCACCTGATATCGCTCAGAATTGACGGTAACGGCGTCCCCGGCCGCATTTTCGAAAAAGTAAGGTCCGATGATGCCTTTTGACCACAATGCACACCACACAGTCACTTTTTGAGGATGCATCGGCTGCTCTTGATACTCACGGGGATTTTTGTTCGCCCAGATGCGGCAGTTTTGCTTGTTTACCGTCCCATTCAAAGTGAAATGCGCTTCGTCGCTGAACATGATTTTTGATGAAAAATTGGCATCAATTTGGCGGTGTTCAAGGAGCCAATCTGAGAACGTTCGGCGCGAAAAATGGTCGGCCCGACGCAGCTCTTGCGTCAATTGGATCTTGTAGGCGTGTACATTCAAATCCTTGTGGAGAATGCGGAGCAAACTGGTTCTCGAAATGCCCAATTCTTGGGATCGACGCGTTGTTGATTGTTTCGGATCGTCTCTCACACTCTCCTTCACAACAGCAATATTTTCCGGTGTGCGAACGCTCCTTGGCCGACCAGAGCCTGGCAGATTTGCCACAGAACCTGTTGCCTCGAATTTACGCACCAGACGACCGATGGTTGTTTCGTTTGGGCGGTTGTTGCGACCGAAATGTTCACGAAGCGCGCGAAACGTGTTTTTTATTTTTGCACCATTTTTGTAGTGCTCTTGAATAACTTTAATGCGGTCTTCAATCGAATACGACTTCAACTAACAAAATGACATGTCGGTGACAGAAAACAAAGATGGCGTCTATGTCAAATTGACGTTTACTTTCCTGCGTTCCTATTGGACAACCCTTTACATTTCAAATCAAACGGTCCATGTGAGAAAAAAAAGCATGACACGAGAAAAACTTTTTGACACTTTAAGCTAGAATTTTTAGCAGCATTTCCATATTAATGAATGCTTTCAGTGGGTTTAGACTACTATCATCTATGGGTTGTGAACCTGCAATAAAATACTCTTATTTTATTGCATCCCTATATCTACGCATTTGATTTGAATTGCCTCAATTTTCAGACACGTTCCAGATATGCAAAAAGCAAATCTAGTCACAACAGACTGTGATGAGTACCTGTATTGCGGCTTGCCGTATATCGTGCCGGTACTGACGATGATATGGAAGACGCATTGGCTTCCGGGACCTCCACCTACCATTCTCACCGCTGTAAACATGACTGTGATAAAAAGGGAAAACATTCCAGGAGGAGAAAGGGTCACTTTGAAAGTAGAAGGTTAGTTGGAATTTCATTATGTCGGGTGACCCAGCAGACTTTGGGTTATACGAGCCCCTTCCCACTTCAGTTGGCCCAACTATTGAAATCTTAGTTTTTTTCTTACCAAACACAAATAATAAAAATGTAGCAGGGTTTTATAGGTTTAAAATATTAACAATGAATATTTTGATAATATATAGTGGAAAACACCGACTTTATCACTCCCTAATCAAATTTGCAGAATAAAAATAACACAATTATTACAGCATATCAACCTATTTTCACTTCAATGCAAAATAAGTCTATAGCGCATAGGTGGCTGCGAAAAATAAAAGCCATGACAATTGTTTTTATTAATCACAGCTGTCAGAATACGTTTAAAATAGTTTTGGGTAGTTAAGGTTTTCAAAATGGGTAGAGGAAAGGTTATTAGTGAGAAAAGTCGTTACTGATAATTAAATTTTTTAATTCTGGGGAATCAAACGCAGAAATTGCAACTTTGTTAGACTTATCGCTGTACAGTGTGAGAAATATTGTTAGAAGATATAACGTAACTGGTTCAGTTAATATTAAGCCACGATATGTGAAAAACAAAGTAATATCACAAATGCCGACCGAAGAACATTACGAAGAATAATCGTGAAAAACAGGCGTGCCAATTATTTACAATTGAGTGCTCTGTGGAAGGAGAATTTCGAGGTCCACAACTCATAGAGAGGCCCACAAACTGGGAGAACATCTGTGGAGCAGGAAAGACTGCTGCGAACAAAAGCCACAACTCCCCCGTTCTTTCTCAGATTAGACTGCACCTCGTAATTTGGGAAGATGGTTAATCGGTGTAGAATCTGAGGTGTTTGTCTCCGCCAAGAAAAGCACGGCGGGACGATTGGATTGCAGGCAGTGATGAACAGCATCAATGCTGTTAATCCCGCAGATGTTCGTAAAACAAATTTTATCTTTGATGTTGTTCACTCGAGCCCACCCTCCACCCGGACTTTCCGAAAGTGGAGGGAGTTTACGTGCGGAATTCTTAGTGCTCGAGTGATCCATCATCATTAGTTTCTTTGTTTTGGAAGATAACCGACTGCATAGCTTAGGTGTGGAAACATGCGGACGTTTATAAGACACCCTGGGAAAAGCTGGCGGGTGGTACCGCCTCGGTCGACTGGTCCTTGTCTACCACCATCTTTTGGACTACCGCCACCCGGCAATCGGTACTGAGGTATTCCTTAACGCGTGTACAATCACTTGAACGGGAAGAAGTTGTATACTGGATACAACAACTTCCGGAACAAGCATTTGCCACGGCCGCGCTCAGTAGGGGTAAAGAAATATTGTTCTCCCCATTCCGAATGGAAATGGTATGTCTTCATCTTCTTACTACTGCTTATAATGTTCTTAATTGCAGGCCAACTCTAACCCAACAGCTGGACATTATTGTGGCTTTCAGTTTCAAACTGAGCGCACCGTCGCCGCGCTTTGCGTATTTATTCGGTTCAAAGTAATCGAGATCGTTCTCGAACAGATCGCTCACCGCAGTGTTGTCGCTGCTTGTGTTTGTTAGGAGAATTCAAAAAATTTACGGAAGCTTCTATGGTTTTTACATCTTTTTAAAATATGTTGTGAGCCACCAGAATTGCCTTTGCGAGCTACCGGTAGCTCGCGATCGACGGGTTGCCGACCACTGTCCTAGATGCACAAATAACTATTATTCACAATATAGTTTGTGGCGAAAATTCTTTTAGCTAGCGTATATAAAAAGGTTCTGCGTTTAATCTCTCAAGCGTACCCGTAAACGTAAGAAATTATATCTTTAGTAGTTTAAGTTCTGGTAAACACACTCATAGAATTTAATTGTTTTGTCTTCTCTAGGACCAACGCACATAGGGGTGATGGTGTCTCCTATGGAAGGAGTAGAACTGACAAGGTGGAGTCTGAAAACTCAGTACCCGTTAGCAGGACCTAAGTGGAAAGGAAGAGAGACATATTTTATTTATTACGCTTATGGGTTGAATCCTGTGCCATTAGTATTTCATATGGATTTTAAGGTAAAAGTATATAAGTATATTTTAGGATTACTAGTGGAAACTGAAAAGTTTACCTTGTGCGCTTTTTGATTTTAATTATTTTAAACTTTTCAATTCAATTTCAACCAAGCACACTACTGGTTTCTGTGTGTTTGTGATTAAGGGACTTTAAGACGAAAAGATATTCCGCTTGCTTGTTTTGTTTATAAGCAATTCTATTAAAAATCAACTGTTGAAAAAGACTGGAGGGTGTAAAAACCCTCTAATTTTATCAATCGTGACCCATACGAAAGATTAAAACTGACATGTTTTGATTCATATGAGGTCAAATATGTATAGTAAATATACTAAGTGACATATAAATCCGAACACCCAGTTTAAATGGTTTTATTTTAATAAAAGTTGGTGAATGTATTTATCTTACTGTAAATAACAAGTGAAAAAATTTTCAGCCTTATCAGTTGGACATTCCGGTTTTTATACTGTTTTTTTTTAATTCACTAACGCTCTAAAAATGAATATTTCAGCCGCGGTAAAGAATCAACGTTGGCGGATTTTGGTTCTTGACATCCTTTACGATCGGTTACGATGCCTAGAGTACGGAGACCTGTACGATTTCGTCAACTTAGTGAGTTTGATAGGGGCCGTATAGTGGGACTTCGGGAAGCTGGACTTTCTTTTCGGGCAATTGCAGTTAGAGTGCAAAGAAGTGTAGACACTGTGGTTAGGTGTTGTCAGGCATGGCTTCGAGAAGGCCGTACGCAAAGAGCAAGGGGCACTGGACGCCGCCGTAGAACAACAGACCGTGAAGATCGCCGCCTAAGATTATTGGCCTTGAGGGACCGTTTCTCCACTACCAGGTCCATTGCAAATGAATGGTTTGCAGAACACGGAAGACCTATTGGCATGCGAAGTGTTTACCGACGAATGAGAAGTTTTGGCTTGTTTTCATACCGGCCACACTGGGTCCTCCCTTTAACTCGAGAACACCGACGTAATCGCCTTGAGTGGTGCAGACAACGGTCACTCTGGGATCAGGAATGGAACAGTATTGTCTTTAGTGACGAGTCTCGATTTTGTTTAGGCATGCACGATGGTCGTGCCAGGGTTAGAAGGCGACGTGGTGAAAGGAGGAATCCACAGTTTTTTGTTGAAAGACATGTTCATCACACTGTTGGAGTTATGGTTCGGGGTGCTATAGCGTATGGTTCCAGGTCACCTTTAATCTTCATCAGAGGTAACATGAACGCGCAGCGTTATATCCACAAAGTTCTAGAACCCCATCTTTTACCCTATCTTGACACCCTGGCAGATCCAACTTTCCAACAAGATAATGCCCGACCACATGTTGCAAGAGTCACAATAGACTTCTTTCAACATAATGATGTCACATTGTTACCATGGCCACCAAGATCTCCCGACTTATCCCCAATTGAGCACGTGTGGGATATGATGGGTAGGAGATTGCTCGATTTGCAACGTCCTCCTCAGACTCTAGAAGCACTTCGAGAGGAGTTGGTGGTTGCCTGGAATGAGATACCACAGGAGGACATTGACCACCTGATCAGAAGCATGCCTAGGCGCACATCAGGGTGTATCCACACATTATTAAAGGTCAAAGGGCTTTAAAGCAGTGCAATCATTTTGAAATTTTTATCGTTTACTTATTATGCTTCATTAAGTACTTATACAAAATTTTATTAAAATAAAACCATTTAAACTGGGTGTTCGGATTTATATGTCACTTAGTATATGTTTCAATTAAAAATGTCAGATTCTGCATCGACTAATCAACTTGGCTCTCCAAATTACGAGATGGGCTCCAATCTGAGGAACAACGGGGGAGTTGTTCTTCTCGGTGATTTCAATGCCCATAATGACCTTTGTTTGGGCTCAAACAAGACCGATCGCAAATTTCTTTGTGATCGTCATAGCAGCCGCAGTGTCCTGGCATTTAGGGTCCTGCCTGCTCGGCTGTTTCGGTGTAAAAAAAATGTTTTAAGTACGTTTGTGTTGTATGTCATGTACAACACAAACAGCTAGTAGTTTTTTCAAAGTTTTTATTAAATACTCGTAGTATCATGGATCAGTTTTCATCGGTCCTCATCCACTTTTTTAAGAACATTTAATACCTACCATTCTCACTTACTTTCTCCTGATGAAGATAACATAGTTTATCGAAAGCTTGAGAATAAAGTTTCAAGAGTACACTTTGCAATACTGTGTCGAAAAAGATTCTTTCATCAATATACAGGGTATCCCCAAAGTTGGGATTTTCCTTTTCAGGTCCCTTCCCCGAATGAATGCAGCAGCTTGCTCAATTATCAGACGTGAAACACTGGGAAAACGATCTGCATACACTCGCGAAGCCTCGGTCGCATTTTGAAGACACTCACCGTAAATTACAGCATGTCGACTAGTTCGCTATTGGTGTATGAGTGTGCCATTTTTTTTAACAGCAATCGGTTACCAATGTAATGGTTTGTTGACCTACACTATCGGCGTCTAGGTTATGGGTTGCATACTAGCATATTTACATCGTAGTCGTACGTCGTACAACTGTATGCTGGCGCTGTGGACGTTCCGCTTATTTTCCCAAGGTCTACACGTCGTGTAAAGGAAAACCCCAACTTTGCAGACACCCTGTATAGTATTTTCCGTTATTATGCCGAATGATTTTTGATGTGTTGATGGTATAAAGCTAATTCCTTAATATTTGTCTTGCATAGGTTCCGTCAGATCACAAAGGTCCCATAATGGATCTAGCAGTGACATCGCACTATCTCTTCGGTAAAGGTAAGGCTTCTCCGTCGCTAAAACATTTGGTAGCTCAGTTTCCGCAATGGACAGCTGTCACCTACTGGACGGCCACATACGATTCGTGGATTATCTAAATTGCTACGATACGATAGATTGGGATAGGTTTCATGAGGATTACAAAATCCACATTAATGCTGTCCACCCACGCACGATGGAAGCGATAGAAGGCTGATAGTACGTTGTCTAAATGTCCACATTTGCTTATTCTGACATTTAGACATTGGACTGTCGATATTCGTTTGTAAATGTGCAGGGCAAGCAATCGACTGATGACCGTTTGCACCTGCTTATGTTGCACCGTCATATCTCGAACGGTGATTAGCTAAGCGTGCTATGGCTGGCAATCATGTATATTTTTAGGGTTTTCTACTTTTGAACTAATGAGCACTGCGCATCGAGTTAACGCCTTTGGCGCTTTCAGAAATCCTAATATCTGACGGATGTGAAATTTTCATTTATCACATTTGTTATTCGTCATGAGTTCTGCTGCAAAAAAGCCCCCAATTATTTATTGACAAGAAAAGTCTTTATTGCTGAACATGATATCCAAATATTTTGTTAAGAGATGAAGATTTATTTAGCATGATTGCTACAATAATTACATTCGTTTTAGAAAACGACAACTATTACATAACGTACAGGTATGTTTAGAAAAACACAATTTGCATCTAAGAATTTTCACTATTCATGAAATATTCCTTTAATTTTCTTTAAATTACAAGTAGACTGCTACAATAATTACATTCGTTTTAGAAAACTACAACTATTACATAAAGTACAGATATGTTTAGAAAAACACAATTTGCATCTAAGAATTTTCACTATTCATGAAATATTCCTTTAATTTTCTTTCAATTACAAGTAGACTTTATATCATTAGTTTATTAAATTCAAGTAATCATTTCTGAAATATTGATTTACTAGTTATATTACTATTGCAATTTTGTTAATCAAAAAACCATTCTTCCTCTTGCATAATAATTGTGATAATGTTGTGGAAAAAGATGTTTTTTTTATTTTAAACATAAAAATAATCAAATATGATATGACATTTTTTATATTTAGCCACTGCAATTCTTGTAACATAGATTTTATTTTGGTGTAGTTATTTTATTCAATATTATTCTCATAGCTTTATTTTGCAAGATTTGTAATTTTGATACAACTTCATTGGCAGTAAACAAGATACTTGAACAATATAGTAAATGCATTACAATAATTGTATTATAAACCATTTTTTTGAAATATGTACTAGGGTTGTAATTTGTTCCTCAAATACAGCTGTGTGTAGTTTATATTAATTTTGACTTTCACCAGGTTACTGGGTGTTTCCCTCAACCTAAACGTTAATAACATTTAGCAACAATCACACAAACTACTGTAAGTTAATTTAAAATCATTTTGCACAATAGTTGCTATTTTTTCTCAATGTTATTGCAGCTCCTGATGAAGATGGCAAAGTCCATTGAAAGCTAGAGATTAATAAAGTATATATAATGTATCATCTGCAAATTTCTGAATTCTACAATAATCTAAATATTACAAATGTCATTAATGTATAAAATAAATATAGGTGGACCTAGTTTACTAACTTGTGGTACACCAACAGTCATATTTTTTGAGCTTGATAAATGTAGATCCAATTTTGTTTTTTTGACTTCTGTCAGAATAAATTTTCATTTACAAAATTGCAATAGTAATATAACTAGCTAATCAGTATACCAGAAAGGATTAATTGAATTTAATAAACTAAATAATGCTATAAAGGCTATAAATTTAAAGACGTTTAAAGGAAATTAAAGGAATATTTCATGGACAGTGAAACAACCATTTTTTTGAAATATGTACTAAGGTTGTAATTTGTTCCCCAAATACAGCTGTGTGTAGTTTATATTAATTTTGACGATTGCAACATGTATCCAGCTTTCACCAGGTTACTGGGTGTTTCCCTCAACCTAAACGTTAATAACATTTAGCAACAATCTCACATACTACTGTAAGTTAATTTAAAATCATTTTGCACAATAGTTGCTATTTTTTCTCAATTTTATTGCAGCTCCTGATGAAGATGGCAAAGTCCATTGAAAGCTAGAGATTAATAAAGTATATATAATGTATCATCTGCAAATTTCTGAATTCTTCAATAATCTAAAATATTACAAATGTCATTATTTTATAAAATAAATATAGGTGGACCTAGTTTACTAACTTGTGGTACATCAACAGTCATATTTTTTGAGCTTGATAAATGTAGATCCACTTTTGTTTTTTTGACTTCTGTCAATATAAATTTTCATTTACAGAATTGCAATAGTAATATAACTAGCTAATCAATATACCAGAAAGGATTAATTGAATTTAATAAACTAAATAATGCTATAAAGGCTATAAATTTAAAGACGTTTAAAGGAAATTTAAGGAATATTTTATGGACAGTGAAAATTCTTAGAGATGCATATTTTGTTATTCTAAATATTTGTATGTTAAGTAATTGTTGTAGTTCTTTAAAAGAATGAATGAATGAATAGATGTGGAATTGTAGCAATCTTGCTAATTAAATCTTGAACAAACAAGTAAGGTCCACCTTAGTTTAAGCTTCAGTTAAGCAAGGCGGTGCAAACGGCCATGGATGTGGCACAGAAAGTTGATATTCTGCCATCTGTTAGAAACGCAGTTAAATTTGTTTTTGTGGAAGTGCTTTTAATTGAACCTAATAAAAGTATGGATTTGAAAGGTACCATGCTGTAGTGACTTGTTTTGTTGATAATCTTAGAATTAATAAAAAAATGAGACGTACAGGGTGTTAATTATGTACCATACATTTAACAGACGATTCTTTGAGTAATTTTAAGACAAAAAGTTCATAAAAATATAGATCCGCTAATTATTCGTTTTCAAGGTACAGGGTGCTGATTAAAAAAAAAGGTTTTTCGTAAATGTCTTAAATATCTTTTACTTAATTTTTCTGTAATTTGGCGGTGGTATTTATAACATTAAGGAGCTAAATTAGTCCTTGAATAAATTTATTAAGTCCAGTGGCGTCTCGAGCGGGACCTGAACGAACATTTGTTACAAAATAACGCACTCCGCTGACCTTTATGCAATTTTTATTGTTTATGTTCTTTGGATTAAGAATTTAGAAATACAACTTTTTTGTCTTGTGATTTTTTTTCGTATCTTGCTTAGTTTTCGAGAAAAACGTCAACTTAATTGCATATTCCTGGACCACACAAGGAATATGGGAAACGTTTCTTTTGTAAAATATTTTTTTATAATTATTACTATTCATGTAACAACAAAGACAAACACTAAATAACATTAACATAACTGAAATCTCTTTTGGACGGAGACCAACGGGACCGACTGAAAGTGTCCGTGGGACATTTGAAAAGTATATGTATATAAATGTTTTTAAAATAAACAAAAAACTTTGAACTTAAGAAAAAAAGTTTGTTGATAAATACAAATGGCATCTTGAAATTGTATTTCTAATTCAGAAAGAAGCTCCAAATACTCGCGTATCTCCCCGATTTTTGACAAAACTGTTGAGATGCTTGATCAGGGTAACAGCTTTATCATAATTTGGAACTTTCATCTAGGTTCAAAAAATCATAAAGAGTTTCATTATCAGTCAATTTCAATAAATATTTATTTTTGAGGATATCTGAAAGTACATTAGGTGGTAAGTCATCTTCTGGGTCAGGTGTATCAGCAGTGGCGGATTTGCAGTCTTGGCCGCACTAGGCCCGACGCCCCTTTTTCAGTACTCATTATACAGGGTGTCCCATAAATACCACGACAAACTTAAGGGGAAGGTAGGCTTTGGACTGACCTCCCAAATAACAAATACAGCAGACGCTCGATAATGTAAACTAATTTAATCCAAGTGTGGTTCACATTATTGAAATATTTACATTAGCGAACGTGATTTATATAATATTTGATTTATTAAAAGAAACGTTTAATACATACTATTTATAACAAAATAAACAAATATTCTAACAGCGATAAGTATTTTTTTAATTAGAAGAAAAATAATTAACAATTTTTGTCTGCGTAAATTTGCGCTTAGCATTGTCTTCCAATGCCTGCGCCCGTAATTTACGAAGAACTAAAATATCCGTGTATGAAACTTCTTTTCTTTCAGCCCAATCTAAAGCTTGGTTAAAAACTTGTATAGCTTGCGCGTCAGTCACTACACTTCTGACTTCAATGGGATCGTTCTCATCATACCTGAGGGACAAAGCACCTGTGGAACCATTTCAGGAATATACTGCTAGTCATCCAAGCGGTTTTTGAACAGTCATAATCAACAGGGATATTAACATTTTTAAATGAGCGGGGATTTTTTGCTTTCCCAATTACCAGTGGCTTTATTTTGTGTGAACCATTAGCATTAGTGCAGGCTAGAAACGTTATTCGTTGTTTCTCCGGCTTTCTTCCCGGGGAAGATTTTTCAAATGATGCAGCATAGGTTTTCCCTGGTAACATTTTCCAATAAAGGCCACTTTCATCTGCGTTGTAAATTTGTTCCATTCTTAAATCTAGCTCGGTAATTGTTTTCATCAATTTTTCTTTGAATGGTTGCACTAATTGTGGTTGTGCTGATAATTTTTCACCAGATATAGACAGCAGTCGAATTCCATATCTTGTTTTGAATCGTTGTAGGTAGCCAGCCATCACTAGCTACGAAATTTTCAGTTTCTTTCAGTTTTTCATTTAACAGTCTCGCTCTCTGTTTACGTACTTCGCCACTAACTGGGACATGATTTTCCCGTTGTTTTAAAAACCACTTATACAGGGAATTTTCCATTTTAGGTGCCTTCGCATTTTTTTAAGTTTTTCTTTTTCCCGGACCTGCACGTTCTTTGTAAAATTTGAGTTTTCATACGCTTAATTTTACAGATTGTTGCTTTCGATACTCCATATTTTTTTGCTAACTGTGTCACTCCCGCACCTAGTGCAACTTCGTCTATGATTTTCACTTTCTCACTCAACTTTAAACACTTTCTTTTATAGGATGTGGATGCCATATTCGTAAAATATATTAACGCGTGCAATGTATTCACTTAAGTTCAAAAATGAAATACATACGTACGTATAAACGTATCCTAAACGATCATACGACTGAGTTTGTCGTATTTTATCGCAGAGGTGAATCCCCTAACACTCTACATCATAAATCGGGGACTCCCCGACGCCCGACATAAATCATCGAGGCTTCAGCATTTTACCGTCGCGCTGTTTCCGTGCGCCGAGAGTTGTTTACGTTATCGAGCGTACACATTGTTTACGTTATCGCGCGTTCCGTTTGATCCTATAGAACGAAGTTTGTGTTTACATTAGCGCAAGTTTTCATTATCCCGTGTTTACGTTATCGAGCGTCTGCTGTATTTGAATAAAATTTATACAGTATGTTCAGAAGACAATTGCACAGGGTGCTATAGAGCCACTTTTCTAAAAAAAAAAATTGTTCAAGAGTTATGGTGGGTGGAAGTGAAGATAATTGTTGTTCGACTTCTCGATTTTTTAAAAAATAACCCAGAGGAAAAAACGAAAAAGTGGCTCTATAGCACCCTGTGGAGTCTTGTTTTTAGCGCACTGTGAAAATTTCATTGAAAAATATTCAAAAATGAAGCGTCAATTTTGAAGCGCGAAAACCTCTG